GAGGAGTGTGAGGGGGAGGACTATGGACAGTGGGTGCAGGAGAGGAGTGTGGAGGGGATGACTATGGACAGTGGGTGCAGGAGAGGAGTGTGGAGGGGAGGACTATGGACAGTGGGTGCAGGAGAGGAGTGTGGAGGGTATGACCATGGATAGTGGGTGCAGGAGAGGGGTTACGGAGAGTATGACCATGGACAGTGGGTGCAGGAGATGAGTGTGGAGGGTATGACCATGGACAGTGGTTGCAGGAGAGGAGTGTGGAGGGTATGACCATGGACAATAGGTGCAGGACAGGACCGTGGAGGGTATGACAGTGTGCAGTATGTAAAAGAGAGGAGTGTGGAGGGTATGACAATGTACAGTGGGAGCATGAGAGGGGTTACGGAGAATATGACTTTGGACAGTGGTTGCAGGAGAGGAATGTGGAGGGGATGACTATGGTCAGTGGGTGCAGGAGAGGGGTGTGGAGGGTATGACCATGGACAGTGGGTGCAGGAGATGAGTGGGGAAGGTATGACCATGGACAGTGGGTGCAGGAGAGGGGTGTGGAGGGTATTACCATGGACAGTGGTTGCAGGAGAGGAGTGTGGAGGGTATGACCATGGACAGTGGGTGCAGGAGAGGAGTGTGGAGGGTATGACCATGGACAATGGGTGCAGGAAAGGACTGTGGAGGGTTTGACAGTGTGCAGTATGTACAGGAGAGGAGTGTGGGAGGTATGACAGTGTGCAGTATGTACAGGAGAGGAGTGTGGAGGGTATGACAGTGTACAGTTGAGCAAGAGAGGGGTTATGGAGAATATGACCTTGGACAGTGGTTGCAATAGAGGAATGTGGAGGTTATGACCATGGACAGTGGGTACAGGAGAGGAATGTGGAGGGTATGACCATAGACAATAGGTGCAGGAAAGGACTGTGGAGGGTATGACAGTGTGCAGTATGTACAGGAGAGGAGGTCCTCATATCTACAGTTGTGTCCAAAATTATTCAACCCCCAATGCTGTAAAGGGGTTTAGGGACTATAGTGTACATTTGGAATTGTATTCAGAATCAAATCCTACAAGGACGTTACTACCCAAATGCAACTAAAATGACATCAATTGTTTATGTAATACAGTAGTAAATGGTTCTTATGTGGTTTCTTCATTGCCACAATTATTCAACCCCTTAAAGACTACCACTCTGAAGAACAGAGGTTCATACAGGTGCTTTCCATCAGGTATTGAAAACACCTGTGGATGTCACCGAGCAGCAATCAAGCATAATAAGCACCAATTAGGCAGCTTTAAAATGACTGTGATACTCAGCTCCTTCTAGACATTTACTGGTGTGGTTACAAACATGGTGAAGGCAAGAGAATGGTCCAGGAAGACAAGAGAAGAGGTGATTTCTCTTCACAGGAAGGGCAATGGCTATAAGAAGATTGCAAAGACGTTAAACATACCAAGAGACACCTTAGGAAGCATCATTCGCAAATTCAAGGCAAAGGGCACTGTTGAAACGCTACCTGGTCGTGGCAGAAAGAAGATGCTGACTTCGACTGCTGTGCGCTACCTGAAGCGTAGAGTGGAGAGAAGTCCCCGTGTGACTGCTGAGGAACTGAGAAAAGATTTGTCAGATGTGGGTACAGAAGTTTCAGCCCAGACAATAAGACGCACACTGCGTAATGAAGGCCTCCGTGCCAGAACTCCCAGGCGTACCCCCTTGCTGTCTCCAAAGAATAAGAAGAGTCGACTGCAGTATGCCAAAAGCCATGTGGACAAACCACAAAAGTTGTGGGATAGTGTTCTGTGGACTGATGAAACAAAATTAGAACTGTTTGGGCCCATGGATCAACGCTATGTTTGGAGGAGGAAGAACAAGGCCTATGATGAAAAGAACACCTTGCCTACTGTGAAGCATGGTGGAGGGTCAATCATGCTTTGGGGCTGTTTTGCTTCTGCAGGTACAGGGAAGCTTCAGCGTGTGCAAGGTACCATGAATTCTCTTCAGTACCAGGAGATATTGGATGGAAACGTGATGCAGTCCGTCACACACCTGAGGCTTGGGAGACGTTGGACCTTTCAACAGGACAATGATCCCAAGCATACCTCCAAGTCCACTAGAGCATGGTTGCAGAGGAAAGGCTGGAACATTTTGGAGTGGCCATCGCAGTCACCAGACTTAAATCCGATTGAGAACCTCTGGTGGGACTTAAAGAAAGCAGTTGCAGTGCGCAAGCCTAAGAATGTGACTGAACTGGAGGCCTTTGCCCATGAAGAATGGGCGAAGATACCCGTAGATCGCTGCAAGACACTTGTGTCAAGCTATGCTTCACGTTTAAAAGCTGTTATAACTGTAAAAGGATGCTGTACTAAGTACTAAGATTGAATGTCACTTGGGGGTTGAATAAAACTGATAATGCTGTGAGCACAGAAAAGACATTTGTGGTTATTTCATTATAACTGTTATGTTATATTGTCTGACCTACAAGTGCCTCTTTAATGTAAATGTAAGCAAGATGACTGAATGATCAAAAGCAATGTCAAACTGGCCAAAACACTCAATTTCAGTGGGGGTTGAATAATTTTGGACACAACTGTATCTAGTGCCATAAAATGCATTGGGGAAACTATCTTTCCATTGCCAATACAGTACAAACAATCGTGCACTTGTATGGAAGGGTCGTTTTCTCTTCCCCATGTAGAATGCACCACAGTAACATCAAGAGGTATACAACCCCCGACAATGGTGCAGTCTATGTTGTGTCTGGGAACAAACTGCTCCCCATTGGGGACAGGCATATTGTACATTCAGGACATTTACTGCATCCGAAAGTCCCATACATCACTCCCCTCTGTTCCATCTTTTCAGTGAAATGACTCCTTACTAGTCTATATATCACAGATATACTTCTTCTATATATCACTTCAGGACAAAGTTTAACATATTTACTGATCACCTAATCAGAGCTTAATAGATAAAAAAAATTCCTCAAGGGCCTTAAATATTTGTTAATGATGTTATGTGTATGTAGTGTAGCGCTACCCCCGCAGGGGCCGCTGGATAATGCTTGTCCCCAGTGGTTGCCCTGACCTTGCAAGCCTTCTTGACACCCTGGGTTCAGACATATTTCAACAGTATAGAACAATGCACGAGACACATTTTTGTAGCAATACCTCTGTATTGGACGTGTTGCAAAGAGTAGACTACATGGGAATAATAGGTTTAGGATATACAACCCCAGTTAACGCACAAGGCAGAACACGGGTAAAGTAGAAATAATCAATTAGCAATGTGTAACAGGTTATACAGTCGTGAGCTTCAACTATTTAATTGGAACACCAGCAGAAAGAGGGGGAAGAAAAGGCTTGTTGACTTTTCACCGCCGTCCGTGCCACCGGTGCTGCAAAAGGGCATTCAGAGAATGATGTAAATGTATACTCTGGCATATATAGATATAAATATCCTATGTTGAATAACAATCGCCTTTTAAAAGAAAAAAGGTCCCTTTTAACTAGAGATTGCAATGTTTAAAGCTCCTGATGCGGTGGTAGCTGCTGTCTTCTGCTAGCAGTGTTGGGGCCCATAAGTATTAGTGAATACTGGTAACTCAGTGGAGTTAGACAGATAAACTCAAAGCAAAGGGAGTACACCTCGAACTTTTAATTATTTAGGGGTTTTTTTGTAGGTTGCTAATTGGTTATTTAAAACTATTCATGTCATTATTTTTGAAGGTATCCTCACTTTACAACATGTAGCGCTGGATTTGTTTTGAGTCCCCCTAAGCTTTGCATGGCCAGGTAACACGCATTTTCCACATCTTCACACACAGAGTCAGTAAAACAGACCTTGAGCTTGTTTTTGTAGTTTTTATTAAGGGGTTGATAACTTGGATGGGGTCTAGGGGTATATGGGATGCCCATGGAACTGTTAAATTTGAGAACAAACTTCTTAACAAGCTTTGCACTGTACAAAAATGTGGATCAGAAAAAAGTACTCTCTTTAAGAAGCACTGAAGTCCTCTTGACCTACCTCCTCAGACCCCAGATGAATCCGTCTTTTTCACCCAGCTGTACTGAGGGTATCCCCGGGCAAGGAATTCCAAGAGCTGACATTTAAGTGGTCCCGGATGAGAACTAGTTGGGGCTTGCACCTGACCACCCTCTCCCTTTTCTGGCCCAGGAGGTGTAGAAGTACTCACACTGTCCTGTCCTGTTCACTTGGTGGGGTTGGTAGCTGCTTTCAGGCCTTTCGCTGGGCTGACTCCCTCTCGGCTGACAGAATGTCTTTCCTAGGAGACTGTAGGGCAGTGGAGACCCTTCTGTCCAGCAACCAGCCTGTAGGTAGCCCCCCCTCCCTGGGGCCCCCTCCCAGACTCTACACTCCAGCCTTTTCTCAGTCCATCTTCCACCCGACTCCCCTGCTGCACAGGCTCTGCCACCTTTAAGGGTTGTGCCTTTGGCCACACTACCTCCTGCCTGGGGATTGGCCATGTTCCCCATAACATGCAAATCTGGGTCTCCTCCCCTTCTCTGCCCCTCTTTTAGAAAGTGCCAGCAGTTTCTGGAAGGGTGGGAGGGCTCCTGAAGCCCTTACCTGTACAGCCTCCCAGCAACCTTGTCCTGAGGTGAACCCGTTACCTCACTCCCAGGCTGACTCATCCCAGGCTGCTACTCAGCCTCTAAATAACAAAATAACAAAGCCTATCACTAGAGGGTGCTACAAACATTCTCACAAGTGCCTAAAATTTTTACACATTACTGTACTTATAGTGTAAATATATTAAGAAGTTACATTGTTTTCCTTATAATATCTAATTGAATAATAATCAGACAGATGAAGTAACTCTTGATGTCATTACAGGTAAACAAGATGTCCAATGTCAGCAGTGAAATGGAACCAACCCCATCTGCCAGCCATGTGCGCATGTTCACCATCCTGGTTTTATCTTTCACTATTCTCGTGGGTGTCCCTGGCAATGCTCTGGTGCTTTGGATTACTGGCGTTAAGATGAAGCGGACCATGACCACCATTTTGTTTGGGAACCTTGCTCTGGCCGATATCACCTGCTGCTTGCTTCTCCCTTTCAGTATAGTGCAATACTTTTACTCACAATGGCTGCGCAGTCATGACGTCTGCAAGATTTTACCCTTCATCATCATCCTTAACATGTACACCAGTTTCTTCACTTTGGTGGCAATCAGCGTTGACCGATGGATTCTGGTTGTCCATCCCGTGTGGGGGCGAGAAATCACCGAACAATTAAAATGGCGTGGATGATGTGCTTGGCTCTTTGGATGTTATCATTCATTATTTGTCTACCTGTCGTCATCTACCTTGGACCCAACACCCGTGATAACAAGACTTTATGTTATTTTGAACCTCACATGATAAAGCCCTACATTCTTACACGAGCAATTTTTGGATTTCTGATCCCCCTTATCATCATTTGCACCTGTTACATTCATCTGGCTTTAAAAGCACAAAATATCAGATTTTCGGATGTAAGTAGAAAAACCATCAAGGTGACGATAAGTATCGTGGTGGTGTTTTTCATCACCTGGGCCCCCTTCCATATAACGCGAATTATCCAGATATACAATGGCAATGAGTTAATGCGCACCCTGTACGTGGTCACACAGACTCTGGCCCAAATCAATAGTTGCATCAACCCAATACTCTACATCTTCATGGGGAAAGATATGAAACATATGGTGAGACAGTCAATGCAAAACATATTTAGGAAAAATGTATTATCTCTAACTCGCAGCAGTAACCAGAGCACAATCGAAGAAAGCGTAATTATTCAGTCAAGAGCTTAGTGGGCAGGGGCGTAAATAAGGGGGGTCAGGGGGGACAAAAACCCTACAAGAGCATCTGTCAATGGTGCACCAACTAGGCAAGTGTAGCCTTTTAGATGCAGTACCAGGACGGTGAGCGCTCAACCCGACTGGGAGCAGGGCGGGAAGTCCCCATCTTGCTGCTGGAACACAGCGCTGTACATACAGTTTATCCAGCTCTGCCAGCGAGTGCATCTATTAGTTAAGGAAATAGTTCATTGGTGCCACAACCACAATTTGTCACATCCTGGCAGACACGCTTATTATTGTCCTCTGGGTACCCAACGCTGAACCAGCCAGGAAAAAAGTGATCTACGGCACTGTTGGTTGGTTGCTCCAATGTATGTGATGGATCTGTAGATTTTTTTTATAGGTTTTACCTTTTTTTTAGTGATTTTGATCAACTGCTTGCTCAACATCTTATTAGTGCATGTTAGGATGGTCATATGCCCTGAATACATCAGAGCCTAGTGATTTTTGGATGGTTGGGGGTGATAAGTGCTACCAGTATATGTGAGGGTCCCAAATAGGAGTCACCACCATGTACCTCACTGAGACTCGCCAAAAGCAAGGCTCACTCAGGCCTAGTCCACAGTCATATAGTACTTTATTCTTCTCACATTCCTGCACATACAGTGTGCCCAATCCACACACTCACCATACTCTTAGTCACCCTTGGAAACAACACTGCTCTGACTGAGGATACTTGTTGCACCAAACCCGACATCTTCAGGTGGTTCCAGGACAGGTTCTCACTTCCCCATCCCTCACCATCCCCTTGCCTGAACAGGGTTGCATAGTGTTTGGCACACTGGAATCCCTCTTCCCCATGTGGGTGCTTCAGGAGATGCACTTTCTAGAATGGCTCAACCGTGTGCCGTCCCACTTCACAGCAGCATGACGTTGCGTGATGTCATGCCATTTTGAAGCCATTGATGGCCATTTTGAATGTATTTTAATTTATTCAAACAGATATGGGCATTCAGGAGTTGAAGAGGACACATACCTATGTGGCAGCAAAATCGGTCAGGTTTCACCCCAACCTCTCTTCTCCTCCAGCACTCTAAGGAGCCCCCATAAGTCTCCTTTAAAGACCAGGCTGAGAAGATACTATGGACACCTAGGATACTTATGCCTAATGTGACTCTGGAACTGGACTATACCTGAACTGGACGGCTACATCGCCTTTTGTCATGGAGAATTAGTTGGAGTCTCCATATGGTGCAACTACGCATCTACATTAGATGCTGCACATTTTGATTTCTACAATGAGCCCTGATGAGAGGGCAATGCATGCCCATTGGGAAGTGTTGTTTTCTATCCATGCACATGGAGGACTTCTGCTGTAATATATACACATGTATGGAATTGTGTTTACCTCCAGTGGAGTCTTCCAGCATATTATACTCATGTCCATGTGATCATAGTGTTCCACTAAAGCTGAAGTCTTGGACTTAGAAGCACTTTCTCAAATTCATATCTATAATGGAGGATTTGGACTAAATGCATCCACATCTCCTGAATATGGGGGACTGAAGTTTCAGTAGGTCTAATAGTTGGCCCTTTAAGCATTAGGCACAGTTCTTCTTACCAATGTATGCATACAGTCTGTGATGACGTTCCATTGAGGTTTGTGCCTTTACACCACCTTTCCTCACAGTCATTTATATGTCGGAAGACTGAGGGTTAAAAGCACTAAGTTGTGAAGTGGCAGGCGGAGATTGCTGAATTTGATTGGGAGGATTGGGAAGATGCCTGGGAATACCATATTTACACAATTGGTGGCCACCAGAGACAAATGAATTCAGTTTAAAATTTTGTATATGGCCTAACACCGACCAGACTACATAGAATATTTCCTGAAGTGGTATCCAATTGCTGGCGCTGTAGTGCGGCCTCAACTGATTTTTTACATATATTTTGGTAATGTCCTCACATCTCCACTTTTTGGATGGAGATCTTAGAGTTCTTCCGCTTCCTAACTACCATAACCGTTCCTCGGATGATGAATGTGTGTCCCTTAGGTCTGGTCAATCCTTAGGCGTATACCACAGCTGTTAGGACGCTCCTTGGTCTACTACTCTTCTATGCCAGAAAGGCTATTGTTTTGAGGTGGAAGGCGACTCAGTCCCCTTCCTTAAATTATTGGAAAACACTCTACACTCCACTCTACAAGTTGACATACATTTCCAAGGGATGTCCTCTATAGTTTAATAAAATTTGGGATGCGTGGTTGGAATCTTCCTCCGCGGTTGAGGCTGATTTGGGATGAACTGAGATGCCCCATATAATGTTGCCCTTCTAATTATTATTATTATTATACAGTATTTATAAAGCGCCAATAGTTCGCTCAGCGCTGTACATTACAAAGGGGGACAGAACATGTGACAGAACAATACCAATACAATGCAAAACATGAGGGGATCGAGGGCCCTGCTCTTTCGAGCTTACAATCTAGGAGGGAGGGGATGGTGGTACAGGAGGAGATAGCTGTAGGGGATGGAGTGGTAGGAAGAGTGGAGGAGGTCGGCAAGTTAGCAGGGGGTTGGGTAGGCTTCCCTGAAGAGATGGGTTTTCAGGGTGCGCCTAAAGGAGAGGAGAGTAGGTGATAATCTGATGGGTTGGGGCAGGGAGTTCCAGAGGATGGGTGACACCCTGGAGATGTCCTGGAGGCGGGCATGGGAGAAGGAGACCAGGGAACTAGAGAGAAGGAGGTGTTGTGAGGAGCGGAGTGTGCGTGTTGGGCGGTACTTGGATATTAGGTCAGTGATGTAGTTCGGGGCAGTATGGTGGACAGCTTTGTACGTCAGTGTTAGGATTGCGCAATCGGAAGCCAGTGGAGGGATTGGCAGAGGGGGGTGGAGGACACTGAGTGGAGGTCAGTGGAGGGATTGGCAGAGGGGGGTGGAGGACACTGAGTGGAGGCCAGTGGAGGGATTGGCAGAGGGGGGTGGCGGAAACGGAGCGGTTGGTAAGGTGAATGAGTCTGGCAGCCGTATTCAGGATGGACTGAAGCGGGGATAGCCAGCGGCGAGGCAGACCAGTGAGGAGGGAGTTGCAGTAGTTGAGTCGTGATATGATGAGGGAGTGGATGAGCTGTTTAGTGGTTTCTGGGGTTAGGAACGTGCGGATTTTGGCGATGTTGCGGAGGTGGAGTCTGCACGAGTTTGTTAAAGATTGGACTTGGGGCTGGAAGGATAGGTTGGAGTCCAGAATGACACCAAGTACTCTCGCCTGCGGGGCGGGTTTGATGGTGGCATTGTTGGACATGATGGAGAAGTCAATGGCGGGTGGTGTCCGGGCTGGGGGGAAGACAAGAAACACGGTTTTGGAGAGGTTCAGTTTAAGGAAGTGGAGCGACATCCAGTCTGATATGTCGCCCAGTAGGTGTGTGATTCGGGCGGAGACCGATATATTGCTGTTTTCATGACCTTGATCAGGATCCATCAAGGTTTCTTGACTACCCCCAGGGAGTAATGCTGAGAGTTGAATACCTTCCCCCTATAGGCCTTGTTTCTTGTCCTATTACTGCCGAGACCTTCTTTCATCAGTATGTTACACGAGGTTAATGGTTAGCTGGAGTGAGTGAGCCATTGTTACGTTTTATTGCTGTGTTTTTTGTTTCTATCAAGTGAGCCAGGGAATGCCCAGAGGCTCTGCTTTGTACCACCTTTTACTACTAAAATCAAATAAAAAGAATAAAATATAAAGCACTAAGTTGTCTGTTGGAATTCCTATACACTCACCAGCTACTTTATTAGGTACACCTGTTTATGTATTATTATTATTATTATTTATTATTATACAGTATTTATATAGCGCCAAAGGGTTTGCTCAGCGCTGTACAATAGCAAGGGGGACAGAACATGAGACAAGACAGAAACAATACAATACACGAGGGGTTCGAGGGCCCTGCTCCTGGGAGCTTACAATCTAGGAAGTGACACAAATTGCTAATCATCCAATCACATGGCAGTGCATTTAGGCATCTAGATGTGGTGAAGACGACTTGCTGAAGTTCAAACCGAGCATCAGAATGGGGAAGAAAGGGGATTTAAGTGACTTTGAATGTGGTATGCTTGTTGGAGCCAGACAGGCTGGTCTGAGTACTTCAAAAATTGCTGATCTAAGGGATTTTCTCGCACAACCATCTCTAGGGATTACAGAGAATGGTCTAAAAAAAGAGAAAATATCCAGTGAGTGACAGTTGTGTGTAGGAGAAGGCACTGTTGATGTCAGAGGTCAGAGGAGAATGGGCAGACTGGTTTGAGATGATAGGCAACAGAAACTCAAAGAACCATTTTTTACAGTCAAGTTATGCAGAATGCCATCTCTGAACACACAACACATCCAACCTTGAAGCAGATGGGCTACAGCAACAGAAGACCACTCCGGGGGCTACTCCTGTCAGCTAAGAACAGGAAATGGAGGCTACAATTC